TTCAACTTATCATAATCTACCTTCAAGTAATATACCACTTTACATATAGTACCTTATAAAAGCATTCTTCCATTTCTTCCCTCCCAGCCTTTATGCTATTATTGTCATGCATTTTATATGTTATTAAATTTACACTATATTTATATTATTTTGTTTAACAGTTTATTATCTTTTTAAAAGAGTTAAGAAATAAGAAAACAAAGCTTATATATTTACCCATGTAGTTACCATTTCTGGTACTCTTTATTCTTTTTTATATATCTGTATTTCCATTTGGTGTCATTTTCTTCTGCCTGAGGGCTTCCTTTAACATTTATTCTAATGCTGGTCAGTTGGTGATGAATTATTTCAGCTTTTGTATGTCTGTAAAAGTTTTTCTTTTGCCTTTTTTTTGACTTTATTGAGATATAATTTACATACCATAAAATTCACTCATTTGAGATGTACAGTGCAGTGAGTTTTAGTAAACTTACCAAGTTGTACAGGCATCACAACCATTCATTTTTAGAACATTTCTGTCACCCCATTCAGATCCCTTATGCCCATTTATGGTTAATTCCTGTTCCCATCCCCAGCCCCAGGTAACCGCCAATCTACGTTCTGTCGCCTTATATCTTTTCTGGATGTCTCGTGTAAATGGAATCGTGCAATAAAGTGGTCTTTTGTGTCTGATGTCATTTACATATTTTTGAGGTTTAGAACTCTGTGTTGCAGCCTGTATCACTGTTTCTCCCCTTATTCTCTACTCTACATTCTAATTTGTATTTTTCTGTTTTAAAAAAATATATTTACAGTTTTATTTAAGGGTATGTTTCTAGTAAGCCTCCACAAATCATTTGTGCATTGAATTAGAATATAAATAAAAAGTATGCAGTTTATTAAATTATATGTAAGTATTTGAAAAATCCTGCTTACAAGCTTTATAGTATGATTGGGTCCTATTCATCTTTGTATTCACTAGAGAGTCTAGTTACTAGTAGACTTGCAATTAATGTGTATTGAATTGAATAGAATCGTACTCTTATAAACTAACTTGAATCATGTTTCAATATGTTAGAACAAGCAAACATCTACAATAACAATACTAATTAAATTATAATTACCAATCATATATTTCAAGTCTTTGGGGTGAAAGGCTACATGATATTGCTTATTGGTTCTGCAGTCTTTGTTTTTGGATTATGAAACAATGACTCTTGGAAATTATGCTGATATTGTTAAAAAGAAAAAAATCTGCCTCCCTAAGTCTCATCCACAATGGTTGACATAATTATAGGAAAAGTTAAGATGTGAATTAGAATGTTTTTTAAAACCAGTTTATTAATTTTGTTATTTCCTATCTGTTTTCAGAGCTGGACTATAGTAATTTTCTATATAAGTTGCCTTTTTTTGTGTGTGTGTGAGGAGATCAGCCCTGTGCTAACATCCGCCAATCCTCCTCTTTTTTTGCTGAGGAAGATGGCCCTGGGCTAACATCTGTGCCCATCTTCCTCCACTTTATATGGGACGCCGCCACAGCATGGCTTGCCAAGCAGTGCGTCGGTGCGCGCCCGGGATCCGAACCAGCGAACCCCGGGCCGCCGCAGCGGAGCGCGCGCACTTAACCGCTTGCGCCACCGGGCCGGCCCGGTTAAGTTGCCTTTTGAAAGCTATAGTGCCCTGCAAACCTCTTTATTTGCATTCTACAATTATCCCAGCCTTCTTTTTTGTTTTTTTAAAGAACAAATTTTTATTTATGACTGCTTGTGAGTTAATCTGCTCTGATACTATTTTCTGTTGATACCAGAAACCAGACTGGTCTGAGAGCTCTATAAATATGTATCCAAAAACCCCAAAATGAACAAAAAGAGCTTTTGTGTTTTCTTCCCTATAAACTGAACCTTCTTTGGGCCTTCACTGCTTTCTTGTAAAACGAGAAATATGGAAGGAAAAGGTGCGGGACAACTTAGGAACCAGGTCAGATTATTTGGAAGAAGAACATTGTGCCCTAGTCATGCAAATAAGTCTTGCCTTCTCCTCTGGTCACTTCCACTTGATGGCAAAGAAGACGTAACATGCTCAATTCCAGACTCCAATATCTGACTGTCTACTTGACATCTTTGCTTGGATACGTCATAGGCATCTCAGACTTAGCATGTCCAAAACAAAACTCTTGAGTTGGTTTTTTTTCCTCTCTCCCCTGAACCTGCTCCTCGTACTCTAGCTCAGTAAATGACAGTTTATCCTTCCACTTCCTTGGTTGAAAAATCATTCCACATCCAATTAATCAGCAAATCCTGTCATTAAATGTGCCAAAATCTGGCTGCGTCTCACTCCCACCACTGCTACTGTGTTCATTCAAGCCGCTTTGATCTCTGTCTTGTGCAGTAGGTTGAAAAACTGGGCAGCAATAATTTGCACCTCCTCCCATCAAGAGGTGGAGTCTGTTTACCCACCCAGTGAATCTGGGCTGGCCTTGTACTTGCTTTGACCAATAGAATGACCACCTATTTACCAATAGGTGGAAGTGATGTGTGAGATCTGAAGCCTAGGCCTCGAGACAGCATGCATCTTCTGCTTTAGCTCTTTTGGAACGTTCTGGTCACCATGTAAGGGAGTCCAGGCTAGACCATTTGGAGAAAGAGGCCTAGCAAAGATAAGCTAAGCGCCAAAGCCCCTGATGTGTGAGTAAGGCTATCCTAGATTGTCCTGCCCCAGTCAAGCTGCCACCTGACCGCAGCTAGTAGAAAAACAACCCAGCTGATCATAACCTGAACTGCTGACCCACACAATTGTAGGAAATAATAAGTGGTGGTTGTTTAAAGTCACTAAGTTTTGGGTGGTTTGTTATGCTACATTATTGCCTATATCGTTATAGTACCCTTATATCTTGTCTCCCTCTTCATGCCACCACCATCCTCACCCTGGACCCTGTCTATGCTCCATGAAGCAGCCAGAATGATCCCTTTAAAATTAATACCAGATTTGTCACCCCTCTTCTGAAAACCTTGGCTGGCTTCCTTTCTTGTTGGTGGAACACCTGAAGTCCTTACCATGGCCTCTTCCACTCATTACTTCTCTGACACGGTTTCCTTTCCACCTTCCTTTTGTGTGTTCTGTGGCTGCCACGCTTGCCTGCTTGTTATACTTGAACACTTGTTGAATGATCTTAATAAATTATTTAACCTCTCTGAGCTTGTTCCCATGCTATAAAATGGATTTAAAATGCGATAAAACCTGTCTTACAAAATAATGTAAAGTTCTTAGCAGAGTAGGTTTTCAAATGTTACTGGGGGTGGGGAGAAGATTTAAATAACCAGTGGCATACTTTTTCTTGCCTTCCCTTTTCTGGTGCGAAGTTGTGTGTTTTAATTCTTAGAGTTGTATTGGCCCCCCCCCCCCCCCCCCAATCTTTAGTGAAGGAGCACATTCTCACACAGTTTTCCTAAAGATGTTCTTTTCTTAATTGGCTGTATTTGAAGATTATATTGCAGAAACATGTGCCTGTTTTGCTATGGGCTTCTGGTAGTGTCAGGAGTGTGTGTGAGGCAAGGTATGTTGTCTAAGGGAAGGAGCCCTCCATATCTTCATCACATAGGGCTTTAAGAAGATGAACACGTGGCACTATTCCCATGAGCATAGAAGCTACCCAGGTTTAGGTATTGCTGAAATATGCAGTGTATCTTCTTGAGCAGATGGGCACCTACACTTAAATAAATCAAATAGTAGCTCACAAATAACGATGATTATAGTTTTACAGAGAATAGATTTCTCTAAGATAGACATCCATAAATCTTTATGATAAAGATTTTTAAAAATTCTGTTTTTAAAACAGTTTTGTTCTGTATGTTGTTTTGCTCTTCCCAATACTTCATTCTACTTACTACTGTGAACTTTGGCCCACCCAGTTGGAATCATAGAAGGAGTAATCTTTATTAACATACCAATTGAACAACATATATAAGAACAAACATGAACTTATTGTATGTGAAGTTTTCAGGGAAGCTTTTTAAACTAACTGCATGGAGAGGATATCGTCAACACTGGAAAGGAATAATACCAATACTGTGCACCACAGTGTTGAGTGTGTGTCGCTGCTGTGAGCGTATACTAGTTTTTTTTCTTCCTGATACTCTGTCATTTCCATTTTTCTATGGGTGACTGGTAACTTTTTATAAGTATTGAAAAAACGGGAGTGGGAGGGGTCATATATATGCAATAGCCTTCTAACATTATATTCCTTCCCCCATCCTCCGAAAAGCCAGTGTGACTCTTTTAAAACCTAAGTCAAGATTGTTACTTCCCTGCTCAGCACCCTCCAGTGGCTTTCCACTTTGCTCATAATGAAATCCAGAGTTCTTTCTATCGTCTATAAAGCCCTGAATGCTCTGGCCATCTCTTCCTTGGCTCATTCTGCTTCAGCCAGTCAGGCCTCCTTGCTTTTTATCCATCAGGCCATATATGGTCCCACTGAGGACCTTTGTACTTCCTGCTCCTTCTCCCTGGGATGCTTGCCTCTCAGGTTTCCATATGGCTGGCTCTCTCACTTTCATCTAGATTTCTGTTCAAATATTCATCAATGAGAGGTTTCCTGACTACGCTCTGTAAAACCAGTACTTCCTCTTTCTCCTCACCCTGCTTTGTTGTTCTTCATAGTGCTTATTACTTACTTGACATATGGTTATTTGTGTTTCTCTCCTGAGTAGTGTGTTCACTGCTTTGTTTCCAGAACCTGAAAAGGGTGTGAGTAATGTGTACTCAGTAGATATTTGTTGAATGAGAGAATTGATTGTACAGCTGTCAGTCCCCGTGCTGGTAGATGAGGGAGAATTGGAATGTATCCGCACAGTAGATAACTCACAATTAATTTTGAGTACAGATATGCTCCTGACCTTAAAAACATCTCTGTTAATTTAGTCATTTAACAAACGTTGACTGCTTACAGTGTTCCAGGTACTGTATTTGAACTGGGAATTCAAGGATATATAAATGTACGTGGTCAAATACATTTGGACTTCATATAGTAGTCCCTGTCTTGTACACAGTGCTGATTTGCATATTACAAGTTTTAAGAAGCCCTGCTGTAACTAAGTATGTAATTTTGTTTTTAAATGTTTTTTTTTTTCCCCCCCCCCAAAGCCCCAGTAGATAGTTGTATGTCATAGTTTCACATCCTTCTAGTTGCTGTATGTGGCACGCGGCCTCAGCATGGCCGGAGAAGCAGTGCGTCGGTGCGTGCCCGGGATCCGAACCCGGGCCGCCAGCAGCAGAGCACGCGCACTTAACCGCTAAGCCACGGGGCCGGCCCTGTAATTTTGTTTAACCCAGTCTTTTTCTAAAATATTTTTACCATAGAATTCTTTTTTTATGAAACATCTATTTGTAATCCTTTTAGACATAGACAATTCTTGACCTTTTGGATCAAAGCTCCAGTGGTGGTGATGGGGGCGGCAGGGGGAGGTCAGGACTGAGGGGACTGTGCCGCTGAAGAAGGTGGTGTTACCTGTAGATATGAGAGGTAATAGCTAATTCCTTCTATTTTTGTTATTAAATTCATCATATTAATACATTTAGGAAGAAAAATCATTATTTCTATAGATGCCAAAAAGGTATTTGATAAATCTAGCATTCATTCCTGATTAAAAAAAAAAAAACACTTAGTAAAATAGGAATAAATGGATACTTTTCAAACAAAATTGCACACACAAAATGCTTGCTCAGTTTCCACTAAAACCAACAACAAAGTAAGATGCTAATGGGCCGGCCCCGTGGCTTAGTGGTTAAGTGCACGCGCTCCGCTACGGGCGGCCCGGGTTCGGATCCCGGGCACGCACCGATGCACCACTTCTCCGGCCATGCTGAGGCCACGTCTCACATACAGCAACTAGAAGGATGTGCAACTATGACATACAACTATCTACTGGGGCTTTGGGTGGGGGGGAAGTAAGATGCTTATTACTATGGCTATTGCTATGTAGTAGTGTATTGACAAAATCAATTACCACCTTCAGTCAAGAGAAAATAATTAGAAGCATAAGAGGGAAAGCTGCTTCCGTGTGCAGGTGATGAGGTAGTATATGTTGAAAAGCCAGGAGAAGCAATAACAACAGAACACCTGAACAAAAAGAATTGAGTAAAATGGCAGGATATAAAATTAACAAACAAAAACTGATACTTTCTACGTATACACAATAATGAGAATAATGAATAATTTAAAATATGGGGGAAGAGAAGTCTCTGTTTCCAATGACATCAAAAAGACAAAATACTTAAGAATAAACTTAGGAACTATGCCAAACCTATAAGAAGAAAACATTCGTGGAAAACATAAAAGTAGACTTGAACAAATAGAAAGACATTTCATATTTCATGTTCATGAATAGAATAACTCAACATTTACAAAGATTTCAGTTCTCCCCAAGTTTCTTCTTTTTTCTAGCACTAGACAAGTTGATCCTAAAGGTCCTATGGAAAAATAAACAAGAAATAACAGCCAGGAATCCCCTGAAAAAGAAGATTGATGAAGAGGGCAAACCCCACCAGATTTTAAACCACAAAGCCTCTGGTTAAAACTGTAAGGGCAAGAGGTATAAGAGGACTCTCTACTTTCTGTGTCATCACGGGGCGGGAGGGACGATGGATCTCTCTGGGCTCTCTTACAGGGCACCACACTGTCCCATTCATGGGGGCCACACCCTCATAATCTAATCACCTCCCAAAGGCCCCACCTTCAAATACCGTCACATAGGGCCTTAGGATTTAACATGAATTTTAATTCATTGTCTATAGCAAAGGATACAACATTGTCTATAGCAAAGAACATTCTCTTGTATAATCAGAGTACAATTACAAAATCAGCAAATTAACACTGATAAAATACTACTCTCTAATCTGTAAGTCTCATTCACACTTCACCAGTTGTCCCACTGATCCTTTGTTCTGCTCCGCAGTCCAGTCTAGGATCACACATTGCAGTTAGTTTTCACATCTCTTTCGTAATCTGGGAGGATTCCTCAGTCTTTCTTTGTTTTTTTCATGACCATGACATTTTTGAAGAGTATAGGCCTTTTGTAGAATGTCCCTCAAATTAGGTTTGTCTGATGTTTCCTCATGATTAGATTCAGTGTATAGGTTTTTAGCAAGGATACCACAAAAGTGATACCGTGTCGTTGATTGTACGATTTCGGGGACTGTTAACTTTGGTCACCACTTAAGGTGGTATCTGCCAGCTTTCTCCATTCTGTAAAGGTACAGTTTTTCTTTGTAATTAATAAAAGTATTTAGTAGACTCAGATCCCTGTTCAAGGAAAGACTTGCTGCTCAGTTGTGGCAAGTGCGGTCAACAGATAGCTTCCAGCTATCAGCTTTTTCAGCATGACTTGCCTCACCAAGGTCACACCCTTCCTGGGGCAGCTGCACCCTTGCCTGCATAAGAAGGGGCCGGAAGCTGCCTGCAGTCAGCCTAGGCTTTCACAGGCCTGCCTTGCGGTTGGACTTCTCTTTGCCCAGTTCTGCTTCCTCCCACTTCCTTTCACATATGTTGATCCCTAGTAAATATCTTGCACCCCAAACTCTGTCTCAGGCACCTGATTGCAGAGAACCCAACTTGAGACAAGTATCTTTGTGGGGAAATGCCTCGAGACTCTGGGAATCTGTTCCTGATTACTTGCACTTACTCTTTTTACCATCTACTGAGGATTCTTGCTTGGAACAGTTATTTTTGTGCTGGTTGCCAAATGGTGATTTTTCTAATTCCATGATTTTTTCTACATTTAATAGTTAGAATTCTACTGTAAGGAAGAGCTTTCCCTCCTCCCCATTTATTTATTCATTCACTCATTCATTTACCTCAACATACTCCATGGATTGTTATTTTATGAGTTAAATCTATCATTTGTTTTGTTGCTCAAATTGTCCCAGATTTGGCCAGTAGGAGCCCCTTCAGTTTGGTTTCTGTGTCCTTTTGACATGTCCCCATCATTTGTTCCTTCTGTACTTTCTGGCACCACAAGATATTTCATGCTTATCTGATACTTTTCCTGTCCCTGATCTGCCATTTCAAAATGGACCAAATCTAAATCTAAAAAATAAAAACATTCAAGTACTAGAAGAAAACATAGATGGATGATCTTATAACCAGGGAGTGAGGAAAGCCTGATGGAAAGAAATGGATAAGTGACATAAACAGTTCACAGGAGAAAAAAATGAAAATGGCTTATAAACATATGAAAAGATGCTTCCCTCACTTATAAGATAAATGCAAAGTAAAATTATCCTGTGATAGCAAAATTTGAAAACACTTTAGTGCATAGACTGTGGAGAAACATGGAGTCTCATGCATTGCTGGTAGGAGTATAAAATGGTACAACGCCCATAACAGGGATTTGGAGCAAAGCAGACAGATTTAATTTTGATCCAGTAATCCCACTATTAGGAATCTACACTGAGAATAAACTTCTACAGATAAACAATACGTGCATGAGGTTATTCATTGCCATATTGTTTGCAACAGCAGAAGATTGGAGACAACCCAAATGTCTATCAGTAGAGGCCTGATTGTATAACTGGAACATCCACACAATGGAATACTGTGTGGTGCTTTATTTATTTATTTATTTATTTATTTATTTTTTTTGTGAGGAAGATCAGCCCTGAGCTAACATCCATGCTAATCCTCCTCTTTTTGCTGAGGAAGACCAGCTCTGAGCTAACATCTATTGCCAATCCTCCTTTTTTTTCCTCCCCCAAACCCCAGTAGATAGTTGTATGTCATAGTTGCACAGCCTTCTAGTTGCTGTATGTGGGACGCGGCCTCAGCATGGCTGGAGAAGCGGTGCGTTGGTGTGCCCGGGGTCCGAACCCGGGCCGCCAGCAGCGGAGCACGCGAACTTAACCTCTAAGCCACGGGGCTGGCCCAGTGTGCAGTGCTTTAAAAAAACAAGCAATAGGGCCCGGCCTGGTGGCGCAATGGTTAAGTGCTCGCGCTCCCCCTCTCTGCCCAGGGTTCGCAGGTTCAGATCCTGGGCGCACACCGGTGCACCGCTTGTCAAGCCATGCTGTGGCGGCGCCCCGTATAAAGTAGAGGAAGACGGGCACGGATGTTAGCCCAGGGCCAATGTTCCTCAGCAAAAAGAGGAGGATTGGCAACAGAAGTTAGCTCAGGGCTAATCTTCCTCAAAACAAAACAAAAACAAACAGACAATAATTGTCTCTATATACTAATGTGTAGTGATTTCTGGGGTATATTAAGTGAAAAAAGCAAGGTGTGGAACGGGGTATGTAAAGGAAGAAATTAGAAATACATACTTATTTGCTTGTTTTCCTAAAAGAAATAGTGGAAAGATAAAACAGACACTAATAAAAACGATTACCTGGGGTGAGGGGGTAAGGAATGAAAGCCAGGCCTTTCTGAGTGCCTTTTTATATAGTTTTGACTTTTAAACTATTTATATTTTTTACATATCCAAAAAATAAAAAACAAAGAGTGGAAAAAAGCAAACTGTAAAATTTGAAATCATGAAACAACTTAATTTTATATAAAGTTGGTACTGTAGCTATACAGAGGAAAGAATTATTTCAAGTGACTTTTGAACATTGTACTGCTTAATGGAATATAGTTTAAAGCCAAAACAAAATAAAAAACTGCAAATAAATCTTAAAATAGGATGCAGTTTTTAAACTACTTTATGTATATTTTAGGATAAGCCAAATAAGTAAATAAATTAATTAGGAACTAAGATGGTCATTGTAAAAGCAAAGCGATACAATATAATGCCAAAGAAATTAAGAAAAACTCTATAAAGTTCTATTTGAATTGAAAATATCAATATGGATATAAATATAAGTGTGTACTACTATTTCTGTCAACCCAAAGGGCCTAAAAGCAGTGAAACTCCAGTAGCTATGAGCACCCCTAGCATCCAAAGCTTGGTTTCTAAATATCATTAAAAAGAACCAATACCCCTTAGAGAAATGGTTAATTTCAGGTCTGGGGGAGGGAAAACATAAAATGAGCCTGGAACATCTTATGCTAGACATCAAGGAAGTGCTCAGAGACTAATGGGAATGATTCAGGATGATACATGGGTCAGTTGGAAGAGACAGTAGCCAAAGTTGAGACAATTTGAACATAAGAAATAATGTGTAGTTGATGACACATTTAATAAATAAAAATCATAAGTTTCTTTATTGATACTCAAAAAGAGAAAAACTAAATTTATTTGCTAACAGTGGAGTTGAATGTTCTACCAACATCTTAATCTGAAAATGAGATATTTAATGGTAATTAAAGGGAAATAAGTTTTTGTGCTGCCTTTTTAGAATGACTCTAGTTCACCCACAGTTAGGGAAAGCTTTTTACAGAAGAGTGCCAGCTTAAAAGTGTAGAAATAAATATTGGAGGATTTTTGGGTTTTTTTGGTGAGGAAGATTAGCCCTGCGCTAACATCTGTTGCCAATCCTCCCCTTTTTGCTGAGGAAGATTGGCACTGAGCTAACATCTGTGCCCATCCTCCTCTATTTTACCTGGAACGCCTGCCACAGTAGGGCTTGACAGCATGGCTTGATATGCGGTGCATATGTCTGTACCTGGGATCTGAACCCACGAACCCTGAGGCGCCAAAGCAGAGTATGCGAACCCAAACACTACACCACTGGGCCGACCCCAATAATAGAGGGTTTTTAATGGTGATTTTCTTTTTTTTTTTTTGTGAGGAAGATCAGCCCTGAGCTAACATCTGCCAATCCTCCTCTTTTTCTGCTGAGGAAGACTGGCCCTGGGCTAACATCCGTGCCCATCTTCCTCCACTTTATATGGGACGCCGCCACGGTGTGGCTTGACAAGTGGTGTGTCTTGACAAGCGGTGTGTCGTTGCTCGCCTGGGATCCGAACCAGCGAACCCCGGGCCGCCACAGCAGAGAGCGCGTGCGCACTTAACTGCTTGCACCACGGGGCCGGCCCCTGATTTTCTAATTCTGCAAAATAATTGATTCAGGCAAGGATTATCAGTGGATGCTAAAACCATTAGGTGAAAAGTTTTGGAAGAAGAAGATATTCACATAGTCTTAACGTTTTACCCCACAAAAAACTTCATGATTGTCAAAGTGAAAAATGTATCTTTACAAAGGAGAGATCTAGCAGTCACTACTACCAAGTGACCCAAATGTAGCATCACTGATAGTGACAGATTTGAATAATGTACCTCCTGAGGTGTTATTTTACAGTACCCAAAATACTTCATATATGAATATTCTTGTCTGTCCTCTCCCCTCCCCCAAAGGCTTGTATGTGAGTGTTCATAATAGCCCCAAACTGAAAGCAGATTGGTGAATGGATAAACAAGTTGTGGTACCTCCATACAATAGAATACTACTCAGCAGTAAAAAGGAACAAGTTGGAATTTCCAATTCTGGGACAAGATTGAATAGACACTCTTCTCCCTATTTTTCCTGCTAAGTACAGCTAAACCCCCTGGATATTATACATACAATAAATATAAGAAGACTCGGAAATGTGGAGAGATGAAGGCAGATCAGCTGAGGACCTTGAGGTCTGAGGAATGAGGTGGTGGTGAATTCCCTGGGTTTTGTTTTTGCCTCATATATC